ATATACATGAAAGACTGTTACACTCATGCGAGATCAAATGATCGAGCTTTACCAATAATGCTAGTCTTTCAGTTTTCTGCTTAACGTTTTGAGCGAAATAGAATTTTTATTCTTTAAGTTTTTTGTTTAGGTCAGAAGCAATTCCTAGTCTCCAGAGTTGGACAGAGAATGAGATTATACATTCAAAAGTTAACATCTTTATTACTATGCAAAACTTATCAAACTCAACTGCCTTGTTAATAAGAAAGTGCTTGATTGAGAATCATCTTGAAATAATTTCATCAAATTAATTTTATTTGAGGGTATGGATGTGGGTGGGATGTGTGGGTGTGCGTGTGTGGCGTGTGGGTGGTGTGGGTGGGTGTAGATGTGGGGCAGGGCTCGAAATGGGCCACTATTTTCTGGCCCGGTCCGGCCCAAAGCGGTCCATCAAACTTGCTGCCCACCAGGCCCAACTTGTCGTTGTTTCGTCCGGGCCCATGAAATTTGTCGGCCCGCCCGGCCCAGCCCAACATAGGCCCAACAAAATTGTTTTTAGAAAATATTTTTTGCAGAACTGATTATCACAATAAACGTCGTATTTCAAAAGAAATTTCCGTAGAGTACGTCACTAATTTATTGATGAATTTAATGACATTGGACCATTAATGTGATAACAAAAGAAGATATTAACGAGTATCACAAAAAACTAGTAGATGTAGAACAAATGAAAAAAAAAACACATTGCACATGAAAAAAAATCAACATTTATCTGAGAAAAGATTAGGGGTATTCATTAATCCTTTACATATTCCACGAATAAATGAAGTTTATCACAAGAAAAAACAACGAACAGAAAGAAGTTTTTGTTGATTACGTGTGAAAGCAACTGTAAGAAAACAAATAACAGATTACATAAACAAAAAGGTTATTGGTTTGCTGTATTATCCAATGATACTTTCATAGACATTTCCATGATATATTTTGTAATAATTTCTGAACCTGATGACATTTATAAAATTTAATAAAAAAAATCTTGTCGGGCCGGGCCGCCCGACAATATCTTCGACCTGCCCGGCTCGTTGGTCTTTCTGGATTGGCCCGCCCGGCCCAGCAAAAAAAATTCGTTGGCACGGACCGAGCTAGCCCGAGCCGCTGGGCCAGGTGGCCCGTTTCGAGCCCTGGTGTAGGGTGTGGCTGTGACTATAGCTGTGTGTGTGTGAGTATGGGTGTAGTTGAAAAGAAGACTCACACTCACACTCACACCCACACCCCTAGATAGGTATTTTTTCTGTTTTTGTTCTTTTACTTTAAATTGATATAGTACTTGAAATTTCCTTCTGTTCTTTTTATTCTTTGTTTACTTTTATATCAGAAAGCAACTGTGAAAAACCGCACAAAATGTTTGTTTTTTGCTCTTTCAATGATCAATAATAATAAGGTAGTGCTCATCCTTATTATGATGCAAATATCTATAATGTTTCAACTAAAAATCAACTATGTTAGTCAGCGCTTGGCAACTATAGTATAAGAAACTTAGATCGAAACTCCATTGGTTTCTTATATTTAATCTAGAGTGTGGGTGTGGGTGTGGGTTTGGATTTATCTTATCTTATCCAACATTCACACACATACCCACGCCTACACAGAGTAGTATTTGTTGCTTTTCGAACTTCCGAGATTTTCTGCATTCGATAATTTATCTTTCGAGATTTTGTAGTTCGACATTTTGCATTTTGAGATTATGCTCACTCGATGTTACTTTTTTTCAGTCCTTTTCTTGTCAATTTTTTTTCTTTTCAGATTCTCCTCTTTGATGTTATGTCTTTCAAGCAGTTAGCACTTCCCGCTTCATCGTGTTACGAGATCATCATGGCGTTACGTTGATTAAACCAATCTCTCATCAAAATAAGAAGTCTATTTCAAGATTTTTTTACGTTGAATATCTCAAGAGTGTGAGTGTACGTGTCGTTCACTATACGAAGAGAATATCCACATCCACATACCATTAAAGGCCGACTCGTACTCAGCACCTCATTTCTGTTACCAATCTACTAACTGTAATCACTTTTAACTGATTACGCGACAGGAAATGCATTCTGTTGAAAAAAATATGTCGACTTATGCATGAATAAAAATGAAAGGCTACGAAGAAAGAATCGGTTACTACTATGAGTGACAGATAAAAGTTACACTATCATATAAAGAATAGATAATTGAATGAATAGTTCAATAAAACGAATGGGAATGTTAACATCAATAATATGAAGACTAACAAAATACAACTGAAGAGAATAAAACGAAAATATATAAAGTTCAACATGTATATAAACGATTGGATTATTAAAATAAGGTTTGCGAACTTTAAATATACTCTGAGACTTTTGATGTGACAGTATTGAAATTATTCAGAACTTAGATGCTCGATATGCTGTATTTTTCTAGAAGGATGATGAATCATTATACCTGAAATCATGATACCGGCTGATATCGGACAAATAAAACTCATAAAAACTCTTTTTGTATTTTAGTGTCTCCATCATAAATTTTTTTATTTTTATTTGCTTCTTTCAAAGTGAAATTTTATCTGGAGTACATCATCAAACTCTGTTACCATATTGCCAAAAACAGGTAGTATTCACATGAATAGCTGAAGATATTGACTAATGCAAAATATACGATATTATTACTGCACAATGGAAGGAGAGGAAAAATGAAATGAACTATTTTCAAGTTTGATACATAGCCTTTTTATTTGTCTAGTCTAAGCAAGATCAGCGCATGCAGAGAGAGACACAAAGATTTCCCTATCATCACGATAAATATAAATGGTGTGGGTGTGGGTTTAGAGAGCACACCATACCCAAACCCACACCCAGATTCACACTGTCATATGCAGTAGTGCTGTGTGCACAAAATCTGATACATGATGCATCATAACAGCTGCTTCGCAGGTAGAATAATCGCAATGATGATCACATCCGAATATGTCAAGTATTTTTTATAATTTTGTTGATAACCTTGAGAGCCGTACATAAACAAGAATGCAGCTGAGAAGAGCACCAGTGATGCGATTGATTGGCGATTTTTTGAGACCGAACTGAACAGAAGCCATCTCTGAAGTACCCGAGATTTTTTTTTGGTTGGACATTGTTAGCATTTGCGATTGTAGATAGCATTGGAGTTATTCAACTGAAATTCATATATGTTTTCCGACGTCATTGCGCGTATATTATTCAGGTGAATATATCACTTGATATATCGAGACTTAACTTGAGTCTATGTGATCTTTGCATATAGTTGGGTGTCTGACTTACTGAAAATAAGTCATGGAAAAGAAGCGATTGAACTCGACGATCTTCCTAATATTCCTCCTCATCACGAAACCTCGCAACTATCAGATCGGCTTGAAACCAATTGGGTTGATGAGCGTAAACAACATCCTCAACATCCAAGTCTCATTCGGGCAACTTTTCGAACGATGGGCTGGTTTCCACTGCTCATCGGTTCTCTGATCATTCCAAATGTGAGTTTTTTTCGTTTCTTGAACGACGTGCTTTTTCCTCAAAACATCGCAGAATTGCAGGAGTTAGCTAAGATGGTTCAACCAATTATACTCATTTATCTGATGCGCTTTTTTGAGCCATGCTCAACCATGTCGCCCACATCTGCTTGGTTATTGGTCGGTGGGATTGTAGTATTTTCGTTTCTCGGAAGTTTATTCTACCATTTGGTATGTACTGCTACTCAGTTTGTGCTAATTGTATATCAATGATGATACTTCTGTTTTTAGTATTTCTACCAGATACAAATTTATGCATTAAGAATGCGTAATGCTTTCACAATGCTTGTCTTTCGAAAAGTATAGTAGTGATGAAGCATATTTATTATCGCTGCATTTGTGTCTAGACTCTTCGTTTGTCTATGCTTTCGATGAATGCACTCGGCTCTGGTCAGATCAACAATCTCGCTTCGAATGATGCAAGTCAGATCGAAATGACTCTTCTCTTTTTCAACTACCTATGGGTAATGAGAGAAAAATTGACGCGACGATGTTTTGTTGTGACAAGTTGTTTTCCATTGTTGTTCAGGTAGCTCCTCTTGAACTTGTTCTTGTGACTATCCTCTTTTGGCACTACGTGAAACTCATTGCTTTCATTCCCATTGGTTATACTCTCGTTCTGCTCTTGTTTCAAATTTTTGATGGTCGATTTCGTGTTTGGATTCGGTTAGCTTCGTTCTCATCCAATATTTTTCTCCTAGGCAACACAATTTTCTGTTGATTTTAGCAACAAAATTTTATATGTCACCGATCAACGAGTGAAACAAATGTCGGAAATCATTAAATCAATGCGTTGCATCAAAATGTTCTGTTTGGAACAAAAGTTCGAAAATAAAATTGCTAAAACTAGAAAGTAAGCAAAATTTCTATTCAACTTGAGATAGCTAATCTACCTCCAATATTCTAGGCATGAAATCAAAACTTATGCTCTTCGTTCATTGCTCTTTTGCTTTCAAAAATTACTCTCACAGAGCTATATGCCTGTCGCATTTCTCCTGATGTATGTGACCATGTGGTATTTTCAAATTAAATTTGATGTGCAGTTCTTTACTGTTGCCGCGTGCATGCTTGGCTACATGCGACTATCGATTATCGACTTCTTGAATTATGCTATTGAAGGTGCGACCAAATTTATAGCAGCCGCAAATCGAATGCAGGTTGGTTCGATGGAATTTTTGCATGATTGAAAATTCAGTTCATTGTATAGGAGTTTCTTTTACGTGATGAATCTGAAAGAGACAATCGACTTCGCACTATTTCAAATGACCATTGTGCCGATCATTCCATGAACGAGAGAGAACAACCAAACTCTTTTGTTATATCAAATGAAGCTGAACCTAGAATCGTTTGCAATCTAAAGGAAGCCAGATGGGAACAGGTAATACATGTTTTGTACGACGGTTGATCTTACTTTATTATTATTTAGAATGGCTCATTTGTTTTGAGAAATATTGAATTCATGGCTCGTCGAGGTGATCTGATCTTTGTTATTGGACCTGTAGGATGTGGCAAAGTTTGTAATCATTGAGAAGCTGCTTAATTTGATTATTGCTGTTTGATTTATCAATAGAGTGCTCTTTTGAAAACAATTTTGGGTGAGATTGGCTATTTCGATGGTACAGTTCGAGTCTCTGGATCAATGTGTTATGTACCTCAAGAGCCTTGTAGGTCTAGTGACTACCAAGAAAATGCAATCACATTATTCCAAAATGATTTTGCTTGGCGTCTTTTTAAGGGATTTTCCCATCGACACTTCAAGCAAATATCCTATTCGGAAAGGCCTATGACGAAAGACTATTCGAACGTGTAATGCAAGCTACTGCTCTTGATGCGGTAATCTAAATAATAGTCTTCTTTTTCACAAATATTCGTCATTGATAATCGGCCTAGGACATGGAACGATTACCTCACGGACCTGAAACTCTTGTCGGTGATCAAGGCATGATGCTTTCGGGAGTAAAACTAATCGATTACAGGCTTCTTATTCATTGAATTTCTTAAATTTAGGGACAAAAAGTACGTGTTGGTTTGGCTCGAGCACTCTATCGTAATGCTGATATCTACCTGTTGGATGATCCACTTTCAGGCGTTGATGCCAAAGTCTCGCAGCACATCTTTAAAGAGTAAGTGATATTGTGCAAGATTGAATCATTAGCTTTGGTTGATTTTAACAGGGCAATCCAGACGCATCTTCGACAAAAAATATGCATTCTAGTCACGCATCAGCTTCAGTATGTAGAATATGCAACAAAAGTTCTCGTTGCGGACAATGTAGGATTCAAACTGAAGGAAACTATGAATTGTACTTAGTTCAATTTTTACGATTTTACAGGGAGAATGGAAGAATTTTGAAAACTATCAAAAGTTCCGAAATTCGCCTTCATATAATGCTTTACTAAACGATAATATAAATGAAACTGTATCAGGAGAGCATAATGCTCAGTGTAAAATGCAACCAAAAGATCTAGAATTTATCCGTTTGGATGATAACAGCAAAAAACAACCGTCTGTGCCGGCAGCGATCAATGAATCCAAACAACAGGGCAGGGTGCAATGGAACGTGTATGTGGACTATTTGGATGCAGGCATTGGCTTTATTCCGACCGTTCTTATCCTCTTTCTCTTGTTTTCGACTCAACAAGGTATGACCATATTCAGTATGTGGTGGCTGGCTACAGGTAGTCATCATGAGACTCGTCGGTATGGTATCATCGACAATTGTATGAATATGAGTGATCAGAAGAGTGTTGCAGTTAAGAATATTAGTGATGGCGAATGGAAACAACATCGAGATCAACACTTTTATACTTTTTGTGGTCAGTATGCTTCTTTTCTATCCATACCATTTTTCCTATACTTTATGGAAACATGAAACCATACAGAATAATGTTCATTTGAAATCATCGTCTCTCAGAGAGTCTCATTTGATCGGTAGTGCTACAAGAAATAAGTCAAGATCCTTCAGAATCTTACCCAAGATATGCACCGATGTTAATTCTGATCTAGTTGAACGAATTTCTTGTGAAATGTATCATGCTTTTAGGTATTGTGATTGTCTTGCTCTTGTCGACTCTGATACGTATTTTGGTGACGGAATTCATGCTTTTGAACATCGGACGAGTTATTCACAATAAGTTTGTTGATCACAAATATTTGTTTTCTTATTTTCTTTTATATTAAAATCGTTGGTTTTTTCCTTTCTTAACAGAATGTTTCGACGAGTCATTCATTATCCAATGAGTTTCTTCGATTCCAATACCGTTGGTATGTCATCATCGATCACTGTTCTAATTTGTTTTCTCAACCTCAATTCAACCGATGAATTTCCTAGGTAAAATTTTGAATCGTTTCACCAAAGATGTTGCCATCATTGACGATTGTCTACCATTGACGCTCTTCGATTTTCTTTATGTAAGTGTGAAGAGGAATTTCCTCGAGTAAGAATTTGTTTTAAAATGTTTTGTTGCATCATCAGCGGCAAGTGTATTTCAATGTAAGATTCGTGTCGAGTCCAAACGAAAGATATTAAATCAGTCAAGCTGTAAAAACACGATGGAGACTTTTAAAAAATTGAATTTCTTGACTTTCAATTGCTGATAAAGAAAGTAAAACCTGAATGCAAACATCTAATAATGTCATAACAGTCCAAACTCTTCTGATGCTTGATTCGAATGAAGAGTTTTGCAGAGATTGTTCGCATACCAGCCGATGGAACGAATGTATAAATTTTTTTCTTTCTCTCTCTGTTTTTAGTGTCTTTTTCAAGTGCTCGGGACAGTGTGCCTGGTCTCCTTGCTCAATCCATGGTCATTGGTACCAGCGATAGCAGCTGGTTTAATCATGTTACGTGTGCGCCATCGTGTTGCTCAGTGTTCACGTGATATCAAAAGAATCGAAGGCACGACACGTACCCCGATCTTTTCCCATTGGTCATCCACGATTGGCGGTATAACTGTAATTCGTTGTTTTCGTGCGGAACAAATATGGTCGGACGAGTTTTTCTCTCATCTGGAGAATAATACACGAGCTAGATATTCGTCTATTTCAATCGAGCATTGGGCTGGTATCCGTTTCGATTGCTTCACTATCATTTTTATAGCATCGGTCACTTCACTTGGGATGATTGTTCATATCACACAACACACTTTCTCGGCAGTAAACCTCGCATTAACACTGACTTATAGTCTTTATCTTGTTGGTCTTCTTCAATGGACGATCAGGTATAAATTTCGAATCTTTCTGTAACAGTGATCATTCAAGCAGACGAGAAATTCTGACAACGTGCTTCAACTATCTTGTCACGGTTTCCATTTGAGAGTTTTGATTCCTATTCAGAGAATACCAAAAACAGTTGCCTTCACAATGAAAAGTCTTTCGAGACGCTCGAAAAGGCTATATTTCCATGTGGAGAACGGCAAACAACGTTTTCTCGCGATATTTTTGACCGGTAGCAAGCATGAAAAAGCCATTTGCATTTATAAAGCTGATAGAAATATTAAGGAAAACAATTGTTGCATGTTTTCCAGATGCATATGTTACCTTATTGAGTGTCTTAGTGTAACATTTCTAATGAGGATGGCTGATTTTGGTACTTTATGAATAGACGTGAAAACGCTCAAACTAGAACCATGATTAGGGCGTTTTGATATGTTTTGAAAAGTCCTTGCCTGCTTGGATACTGAACTTGGTGGATTCTAGACAGTCGGTAGAACTCGCGAATCAAATGACGGCAGTAGAACGCATTCTTGAATATTGTCGCCTCGATCAAGAATCACTAGGCCATACGTCCCTGGCTTCTGCTTCACCTTCGAATTGGCCATCGAAAGGTGAAATCGTATTTGAGAATGTGTCTATGAAATATATATCAGAGTTGCACAAGCATTTTGCACTAGAGAATTTATGTCTGAAAATTGAACCAGCAGAAAAAGTAGGCATCATCGGAAGAACCGGTGCTGGAAAGACTTCATTTGTTCAAGCCATTCTTCGTATGAATCCCTTGAACAACGGCCGTATTATCATTGATGGTATCGATATTGCCACTATTGCATTGCAAGACGTTCGGCGTTCGATTTCGATTATACCACAAGATCCGATTCTCTTCTCTGGTACTTTGCGTGATAATCTAGATCCATTCGGTCGTCATTCGGATACGGAATTGTGGTTCGCACTTGAACAGGTCAGTGCTGAAATCCATCAGATCCATTTGAATCTGTGATTGATTACAGGTGCAACTGAAAAAATTCGTAAAAGACGAAATGTCGACTGGTCTTCAGTCACAAATTAGTGAAGGCGGTTCGAATTTAAGTATTGGCCAGAAACAACTCATTTGTTTGACAAGGGCCATTCTCAAAAAGAGCAAAATAGTCATCATTGATGAAGCAACAGCCAATGTTGATTACCAGTAAGTTTGAATGATTTTTTTTTGGAATCCGAAATTCTCAACTGTATCCTGTCGATTTCCTAGGACGGGCGAGCTGATTCAAAAGACTATACGAAGCAACTTCCAAGAATGCACAGTTCTGACCATTTCTCATCGTCTCCGTACAGCAAGACAAAACAATCGATTATTGGTAAATATCGTGACAGATCACTTTCCCCAATAAATGTTCTAAATTTGAGAGAGGACAAATGATTCTGGAATATTTTTTCATAGGTATTCGGCGATGGAAAGGTGCTCGAATTCGATGAACTACATGCGCTACTTAACAATCCTCATTCGCATTTCGCCAGGATGATCCGATCTGTAGGTACGATTGAACCGAATTATCTACCACCACTACCGAATGCAACTGTGGAAGCTAGTGAGTCCCTGGAAGGTGAAGACACAAATTCGAGTAATGAAAATAATTGTCTTCTTCGTTAAACATTTTAGCAGAAATTTTAAAAACCATTGAAATTAATAAAAATTGTATTCATCCCAGATTTTGAACAATATTTCTAATGATTTTGCTTTAATAAAGAGGGAACTCGTTAGTATTTTTTTTTCATATTGTTGCAACTAGAGATGTTAGTGGCTGTTTTTTTCTTGGCACGACTCGCCACACGGATTAGTTGTTTTTTTTCTTCGATTCGCGGGTTGAATCATGAATTAATACAATTTTAATTAGGAAAATATTTACTAACAAATCGTAGATTTAATTGTTCAGCATTTGTTTCTTAATTGTTTGTGAAACTAAAACTTAAACAAGAGAAATGTTATCATTTATATCTGAATTTATGCACGAACCTTAAAATATTTCAATGACACTTTAAGAAAAAAGGAGTGCAGTAAAAGTAATAGTATCCCTAGAGAATGTACTGAGTTAAGGGTACCCGAAAAAGTACCCTGTTACCAGTATGTCACAGGAACTTTTGGGTACCAAAGTACTTGGAAGTACTTACAGGTACCTAAGTGGTACTTTGACAAGTACCCTGCTACAAAATGTGTAGTAACTGGGTACTTGAAGGTACTGATCAGATACTCAATTGGGTACTATTGTATAGTATTTCTAGGTACCCTGTTTCAAAAATTTCAGTATGTTCAGGATCGAACCTGACTTTTAGTTTTTTTTAATTTTTGTTTCTCTCAAAGCAATTTAGTACATTTTTTTTTCGATTTTATTCAATTTAATTTTTTCAATTCCGAAAACTTAGCAGGTACAATGCCGAGATCTGACCCAACTTCAGTTGGTCAGGTATCCATCAGACCCCTTCAGAATAGTCTGCTCTTAATCTACGATCAAGATCAGCATTTTCTCGACTAAGAAATAGTCAAGAAATAATCTAGAAAAAATTAGTATGAAAATAGATTAATTTCTTATGTCTTACCCAGTTGTTTATATGGAGCCGTGTGTGAAAAAGAAAACGGTGAATGAATAGTCGCTACACAGAACGCGACAAATATAGGGTACCCTATATAGCTTTCCTCAGTAAAATTACAGATGCGAGTACCCATACAAGTACTTGTTCAGTAAGCATACTTTTATGGGAACCACACGCAGTACCTACATCAGTATAATTACTGAGAATTTTTGAAGTACCCATATTGGGTACCCTGCTAGGGCTTTCTCAGTACATGGGTACCCTGAACTCAGTACTTTCTCTAGGGATATGTATTGAAATTTAAAAAATATATCTGGAGATTTGTA